TGCTGGCTAAATGTGGCAAACAGGCAAGTAGCCATCTGTGACCCTGTGATGTTATCTAGGCAGCTAGTGTAAAAAAACAGGCCAAAATGACCAAATTGTTCTTTTCTGTGTCAAATTATTATTTTTGATCAAAAGATCTTATATAATTAAATATTAACCAAAAAAATATAAATCATATTATATGATCAGATCTTTTAATCAAACTAGTCTTTTACCGTTACATGTATATAGCTGGCCAGTAAAAGGCTCAACACTGCACATTCTTAGACTTTGCTCTTTACTGGTAACCTTTATGCTACTAGTGACACAGAAGAAAACCCATCATTTTTATGTAACTAACCAATTTAAGCTAGGCCAAAGCTACCTTTTTACCACTACTAAACACAATGCACAGGGAGGTTGAAATCACCAACAGTAACATTTCAAGATGAAAACATGAATCCTTTAACCACGAAGCTGCAGACCCTATGGTTTATACAGCTAAAGGAAGTCTGATATGACATATGTGTGTTATAGAGTATACTTGGCATATTCAATATGGTATTTAAGATTTGATTTACAATAGAGAAAACCTCTTGCATTAGGTCAACATTTTTGGCTCTGCCCCTTTTGTCCCAGCCATTGTAAAGCTAGAATAGGAGAGAATATTATACATGTTGTACATGAGATTAAAAACCTAGCATGAGGGGGGGCGTGGCCAACAAGAGAGCCTGATGGATGCATAATCCCGAAACTCTGTGTCCACACAGGCCCGGGACTATCACACAGCGACTAGCAGCACAAATTTGGCTCCTCCCCTTAACAGCAGCAGCCGGGCATGTTCCACAGATGCAAAGGCGGCTCCCATCCACGAAAGGTATCGGACTTCTTCTGGCTATCTAAATCCCAGACCTTCCAAGATGGGGGTGGCAGCTCTCTCCCTGTCTCCCGCTCAGGGTTCTTAGGAATCAGCCACATCTCCTCGCCCGCATAGGGGAGACAGGTAAGAAGCTCTCCAGACCCGCTCCACACCGTTGGAGGCCTCGTCTCCTGCTACCCCCACCGCGCAGGGAGCCTTGCAAAATTGAGGCCCCAGCTTTCAGGCCTACCTGACGAAGTGAGCCTTTCCCACCACTCCCTATAAGACACCAGGGAGCTATTCGCACCAATCGAAAATTACCATACTAGTGATCAGCCTCTCTCAGAAACTACCCTGAAGGACATGTTAGTGTCCTTGCGAAGTTTGCTTCACACAGATATGCAGTCTTTAGCGCAACAATTTAAAACCGACCTACAGGAGATCGGCGCCAGGGATTCCCCATGTTGAAAAAATTATGGGACAATTTGCATCCACCTTCAATAAGCTTGTGGATTCCCACAACGACAGGGAAGGCAATATAACATGGCTGAAATCCAAAGTGGCAGACCTGGAGGACAGGTCACGTCGCAATAATATTAAAATAAGGGGAATTCCAGAGTGCGTTCGCCCTAACGACCTGTCTAAATTTGTACAAAGCTTTATTGCAACCATCCTTCCAGATGTCTCTCAATCCGAATTGACCATTGACCATATACACAGGCTACCTAGACCCTCGCATTTGTCGGACAGTGTGCCTAGAGACACTCTGCTTCGGATTAACTTGTTCCATGTGAAAGAGAACTTGCTGAAGGTGTTGTGCACTGCCGTCGCCTTACCCAACGCTTATGCCACCCTACAGGTGTTTGCTGATCTCTCCCAATACACCCTGGCATTTTGCAGGAAGCTGGTTCCAGTCACGAAGGCCCTCAGGAGTAACAAGATTCTCTACCGTTGGGGTTTCTCAGCAAAGCTCCTGATCACCAAGGATAACAGCCTCCACACCATTACCACCTTAGAGCAAGGCCTTGAACGTGGGATGATTGTTGGCGCTCTGAGCCATGGAGCGAGTATCGGCAAAACAGCAGAATTCGTTAAATGTTCAAGAGCAGCTGTTGTTAAAGTGTTTAAAGACTGGACTGTCAGCCGAAATCTGGGTCTGAACGTGCGAATTGTGGCCGTCAGCGACTAGTCAATGTTAGGGCAGAACGGAGAGTGGCAAGACTGGTACAAGACAACAGAAGGGCAACAGTGCATCAAATTACTGCAGATCTTAAAATCTCAATCCAATTGAGCATTTGTGGGATGAAGTTGAAAGAGCCATCAGGCAGCTGGTTCCACAACCATCAAATCTCACAGAACTGGACAGTGCTATTCCTCAGGCATGGTGTCAGATTCCGCGCATTATCTTTCAACATCTTTTGGAGTCAATGCCAAAAAGAATCGCCGCAGTATTGAAGGCAAAAAGGTGGCCCAACGAAGTGCTGATGGGGTGGTCATAATAATCTGGCCACTCAGTGTATTATACTGGTGTGCTTCATTAACTCCAAGATCTACACCATAGTGAATGTATACGCCCGAACTCCCACCAATCACGCTTCCACAACAGAATATTTAAAAAGGCGAAAAGAGTCCAACAAGGTGCACTGATAGTGTGTGGTGACTTTACTCTGGTTCCAGCCAGTGAACGAAATTATACTACTCTCCTCCTCAGAATTCCTACTCCAGGATCGACTTACTCCTGGTTGATCGCATGTTATTGCCTTGGATTCAGGACTCTTCCATTCGAGATATTACCTGGGCTGACCATGCTCCAGTTTTGAGGTATATTTCCTCACAACATCTAACCTCTAATTATTTTGTTTGGCGTAACAATGTTTTTCTTTTGAAGCAACCTAAGAACATTGAGTTGATTCGTAATAGTTTGATTGATTTTTTTGATATTAATGCTACTCCCCTACTTGCTTCACCCTACTTTCAAACATAAATTGTACCATCCTAAAGACATAGCCCAATCTTTTTGCTCATACTATAAATCATTATATAACTTGAAAGATGAGGGAGCCATCCATCACCCTACCAAATCTGAAGTTGATGAGTTTTTACAAAACATTCACCTTCCCACATTTACAAGTCCCCAATTAGACAAACTTAATTCTCCCTTTACTACTTTGGAGTTAGCTAGAATCATACGATCCATGCCTAACAAGAAATGACCTGGCCCTGATGACTATGCTAATGAATACTATAAGATATTTGCCCAGACTTTTAGCCCTTACCTCCTTAAAGTATATGATGTAGTGGCGACCTCTGCCTCATTTCCAGAGGTGCCTAGTCTTCACCAGAGCCACTGATGGTGTGGATGTTGAGCTGTGGGGCAGCTCCCAGGTTGCGGCTCTCTGACACACCCGTGCAGGCGCAGTGCCAGCGGGTACTCAGGGACCGCAGCACAATGGACATGACATACAGGATGCACGGTATGCGTGACACAGGGAGCAGGTAACAGAAGGGCAAGCCAAACAAATGACAAACGCACTCATCAATACGTCACCAACTATACAGTATGGTGCACACAAAATGGCCTTTAAACAGTAAAACAGTAGAAAGTACATCATGGCACACTCACAAGCCAGCATGTAAAAAAACTTGTCTCACCACTAAGGTTAACAACAGAGGTTTGGATACACGTCTTCTGCAGAAAATGTGAAAGCCGCACAGCCGCGCCAAAGCACCTCTTATAGTGCGGTCCTAACTCTAAACTATGAGAGTCTCCATCTTGGAGCAAATGGAACAGAAGATTTGAAATTGGGTGCAGGTCTGTCAGGAGGAAGCCCGACCTCCCTTAAAGGCACATGAACGCACAAGGGATCCCGCACATCCCAATGGCAGCCGAGACCCCCCATGCATCACTGCACCAAATCAATCAAGCACAACAAATGACAAACACACTCATCAATTCGTCACCAGCTATACAGTAAGGTGCACTTGAAATGGGCTTTAAACAGTAAAACAGTAGAAATATATCATGGCACACTCACAAGCCAGCATGTAAAAAAACTTTTAGGAGGAGAGTGGGGATCCCACAGAATAGGATTGGAGTGCGAGGGGCTCATGGTTGGAAGGCACTTGAACTGGGCCATAAGGTGAGTCGTAGCAGAAAATGGGAGCCGTTCCGATGTAGCAGATGGCATTTTATGCACATTCACAATTAATATCATAAGTAATTACATAATAATGTAATTGCTGAAGATGTAAATTGTGAATGTGCATAAAATGCCATCCATTATTTACTGCCACGGATGGCATATTATCAACGGTCACAATTAACAATTTAAACAAAATACTTTGTCAATAAATGCCAGTTTTCTCGTTAATCCCGTCTGCGCGCAAGCGCAGATGCTGAGGTCGGCAAGTTTGACTGGGTCGGTGTTCCCGATAGAACACTAGTATCAGCATTTAGTATCGCAGCATTTTTTATTTATACGAGTACTCGTATAAATGCCCAGTATTGGCACCTATATCGATACTGGTATCATCAGATCCCTGCCTCTCACATATCACTCAGGAACTACAAGTCCCAGCACTGTCCCTGTGCATCACCCAAATATTCCTAAGGAAACTACAAGTCCCAGCATGCCCTTATTGTACCTGAATACACTCTAAATATCACTAAGGGAACAACAAGACCCAGTATGCCCTCATTGTCCCTGCTGCATTATTTGCCTGATGCACTGCCTGTGTTCGCCGTTCGGCACTGTTGGGATGGTGCATATAGTGTGGGGGTAGCCGGGCCAACTGCGCTCTAGGCGGCAGCCCGCCCTAGGCGGCTGACTAGTTTGCCTAGTGGTAGAGCCGGCTCTGGTTATAATCGACTACTTTAATAGATCAGTATGACTGACTGCTATAGTACAGAACTCGGATATAGAACTCGGATATAGAACTCGGATATAGAACTCGGATATAGAACTCGGATATAGAACTCGGATATAGAACTCGGATATAGAACTCGGATATAGAACTCCGATATAGAACTCCGATATAGAACTCCGATATAGAACTCCGATATAGAACTCCGATATAGAACTCCGATATAGAACTCCGATATAGAACTCCGATATAGAACTCCGATATAGAACAGTGAATTGGCAAAGACCAAGATACTTACATTTACTTGGTATTCTGACACATCAGCCATAATGACATTTGAATATTTCTTCCTTTGTTCTGTGAAGCAAAATAAAAAAATATTGTTAAACATAAAAGAAAATGTGACTTTTTCCTTGCATTTTAAATTACTGATTACATAAAGCTGAAACATTTAAAAATGTGACTTTTTCCTTGCATTTTAAATTACTGATTACATAAAGCTGAAACATTTAAAAATGTACTAACACCCTGATGCAGGAGAAGCTTCCTTACAAAAAGGAAAATATGAGGTGTGATAAAAAAATATGGTGAATGTTTAAATAAAGAAAAATTTATTACAGTAAAAGACACATTGCCATTAATCCCCCTCAAAATACTACTTCTTGCTTCCAACATACTTATCCCATAATTCTTGCCGCTTCCTGAAGCAGCTGTGGAAGTCCTCTTTCATGAGTGTGTTTAGTTGAGCTGCCGTGGCTGCCTCAGTTCAAAAATCAATTCAAAACATTTACCTTTCATGACTTTGGGGAAGAGCCAGAAGTCACACAGTGCCCGATCCGGTGAATAAGGTAGATGAGGACAAGTATTGTTTTTATTTGACAGAAACTGCCGTACCAGAGGCGAGGTGTGACACACAGCATTGTCACACTGTAAAACACACCCTCTTTCAACCATAGCTCACAACCAACTGACTGCACTGAACAAGTTGAAACTTGTCACACACTGTTAATAAGGTTTGACGTGCCGCTTCTCGTATTGAAGATCCCTGTTTTTCCGTTGGATGACACTCGGCAGCAGCATTCACCGTATTTTTTTGATCACACTTTGTACATAGACGTAATTTGTTCTTCTAACACGTGAATGTTGACACCTTCTTATACGGGCTGTGCCCCATTTGTCACATTTATGTTGTAGAGAATGCTGTTTCATGCAGAGTTCCTTTTCGACTACTTAACACTGTCCAATGTAGCATGTTCTATTTACTCCACTCCTTAAAAAAGTAAGAAACATGGCAATCTCTTTCCCTCTCTTACCTGGCAGTGGCTCTAAGTTGACAGGCTCACGTGTGGAGGTCTTTCCAATAACATGGTAGTTGTTTTGACAATATGGCTGTGTCCCAGGTAATAAAGGTAACCACCCTTTCTTGATCAACTTTAGACACAGCAGCTTCATAAATGAACAATCCATACAACTATGTAATAATCCACAACCTTTTTTTTAAATTAGGCCCACCATCAAATCACATCCACTATCCTTTGCTGTGGTACACTATAAATGCTACATTATTAGTGTCTCCCTCTTACTCAGCTTCAGATACCGTGTTTCCGCGAAAGTAAGACAGTCTTATATTTTTTTTTGGCTCAAATAAACACACTAGATCTTTTTTTCGGGGTAGGTCTTATTTTTTACACATATTCATGTACTAAAATATGGTGATCAGGGCAATCAGGGGTGCCGTACCTTTCCTAGAGCAATTTGATAACCAATCGCTGGCCAGAATGAGAGAAGCGCACTTTCACTATCGATTCCTCACAAGCGGAGTGCATTTGGTATCACTCCGCCTGTGACAGGAGCCGGCGCTATAGAGGAGGCATCGGCTTATGCGGCTCTGCTCCCTCCGGTGCCGCCTCGTTTCCTCTAGCGCTGCCTTCGTTGGCACCGCTGATTCTCTCCTGCCTCTCCCGCGGCTCTTCAAGTTCCCCCTTATGCCACCCCCGGTCCTGGGAATGGTCACAACTAGGTCTTATTTTCGGGGTAGGTCTTATATTTTAGCAATTCCCAAAAATAGTACTAGGTCCTATTTTCGGGGTAGGTCTTATTTTCGGGGAAACAGGGTATTAATATGGAAATATGGCTGAATATTGGCACACCAGTGCAGACTACTGCTACTGATATCATGCCAGTTTATGCTATGATTGTTCTACAATACTTTTTTTTCATCACAGTGTGGTGTGACAGAGTACAAGTGGAGAGAGTCCAGCGGAAGGCAACAAAACTAATTAGGGGAATGGAGGACCAGAGCTATGAGACAAGGCTTCTGATCTTAAACATGTTTACGCTGGAATTAAGGAGATTAAGGGGGATATGATTTTCATGTACAAGATGTTCAATGGTGACAGCAAACATTGGCAACAAACTGTTTGAGATTAACTCCATTACAAAGACTAGAGGCCACCTAAAGTTGGTGCAGAAAAAATTCCAGCACAATGGGCGAAGAGGGTTCTTTACAGTAAGAGCGGTTAAGGTCTGGAACTCACTGCCATCGGCAGTGATTTGAGACAAGAGTGTAGATTTGTTCAAGAAACGTTTGGACAATTTCTTGAGGGACCGTAATATCCAGGGATACCAGTATCCCTAAGAATGAGATGATGCGTGGACCTATATGGGTTGGACTTGATGGACGTATGTCTTTATTCAAACCCAAATACTATGTAACTATGTAACTGCATCGGACTGCACTGTAAAAGAGCATTTTTGCTATTCGCATGAAAATGCTCAAAAACACGGAAGCAAAAAACGTGGGAAGTGTGTTGCAAATTCTGCTACATGAGCTTCTTTGCCATGTTTGCTGCATGTGCAGACCCCAATAAACTCAATGGGGACATGCAGCAAACGTGGCACACGAACGCACTCAAATGTAACACGTGTTAAATTGTTTTAATGTATGTATTTGGTAATATATCCCCGAATATGTCCCGGAACACCTAAGATAAGGATATAGTGCTGTAATGCAGAATGGAACTTACTGTCAATGCATGAGTTGTAAAGATCTCATAAGTTGAACTTTGAACTTGGAACTGTCCATACTTGCTGGAACATGTGCAAAATGAACAATTGGATATGATCCTACCTTCCCCTCTTGATCCTTCCTCGTTATCTACCCAACCTCCCTCCCCCCCCCACTTTCATTCTCTCATCCCCACCCTTACCCCCCCTCCCCAGACCCAGTCTCTCCCTTATTCTCTTCTTTTTCAAGCATCAGGATCCTACTCGAGGACTCACATAAATGCGCTTACCTGAGATTAATGGTATGGATTGTGAATCCTGTATTCTACATGCTATTTAGTATTACTCGGCATCCTGTGTTGCTTTTATGTCTTTTCATATGTCTTATAACAATAAAAATGTATTATACAAAAAAAATGTAACACGTGTTCAAGCCATGTGCAGGTGTGAATGGGCGCTAACTAAGCCATATACATCATTGATTGCTCTATTCTCCATGCAAGCAATATTGAACCATAATGTAAACTGCCTATATATACAGTATATATATTTATTTGTGGTCGGAGTCTCACATGACCCCTGAACCATTCGTATTAACTACAAACCTGAGGTGTGCCATGATCTTGAGGTCAGTAATGCCAAATAAGGGGGCATACCCTAGTAAATAGAAAGTAAAAAAGGGAAGGGGGGGGTGTCAGCCGGAATCGATGCTGCGGGCGAGTCACCTCTAGCCCTCCCCACCTAGATAACGAATCGCCGGTGCGACTTCTCCCACAAATACGGCAAATACATTTTCCTACAACCTGTGGTCGGAGTCTCAAATGACCCCCGAACCGTGTACCATTCATATTAACTACAAACCAAATAATTGGATTCAGGTATTCCAATCATCTTCATGGCCACAAGTGTATAAAATCAAGCACCTAGGCATGCAGACTGCTTCTACAAACATTTGTGAAAGAATTAGTCGCTCTCAGGAGCTCAGTGAATTCAAGCGTGGTACCATGATAGGTTGCCAACTGTGCAATAAGTCCATCCGTGAAATTTCCTTGCTACTAAACATTCCACGGTCAACTGTTAGTGGTATTATAACAAAGTGGAAGCAACTGGGAACAACAGCAATTCAGCAACGAAGTGGTAGGCCAAGTAAAATGACAGAGCGTGGCCAGTGCATGCTGAAGCGCACAGTGCACAGAAGTCGCCAACTGTCTGCAGAGTCAATAGCTACACACCTCCAAACTTCGTGTGGCCTTCAGATTGGCACAACAACAGTGCGTAGAGAGCTTCATGGAATGGGTTTCCATGGCCGAGCAGCTGCAACCAAGCCTTACATCACCAAGTGCAATGCAAAGCGTTGGATGCAGTGGTGTAAAGCACACCACCACTGGACTCTAGAGAAGTGAAGACGTGTTTTCTGGAGTGACGAATCACGCTTCTCTGTCTGGCAATCCAATGGACGTGTCTGGGTTTGGCGGTTGCCAGGAGAACGGTACTTGCCTGACTGCATTGTGCCAAGTGTAAAGTTTGGTGGAGGGAGGATTATGGTGTGGGGTTGTTTTTCAGGGGTGGGCTTGCCACCTTAGTTCCAGTGAAGGGAACTCTTAGCCTCCTCCTCTTCCCCCAAATATGGGGGAAGAGGAGGAGGCCAAGCTTCACTCTCAAATAGAAATAGCTGGGAAGCAGGGTAATGTTGTAATGGGCGCCTTAAATTATCCAGACATCGATTGGGCTAATGGAACCTCTCATTCAATAAAGTCTGGCCGTTTTCTGAACCTATTGCAGGACAATTTCACGGATCAGATGGTGGAGGTTCCAACTAGGAAAAATGCCATCCTAGATTTAATCATGTCCAATAATGCGGAGATAGTTGAAGATATTGCAATTGGGGAGACAATGGGTAATAGTGATCACCATGTGATTACTTTTAATATTGGGTACAGAAAAGGGAGTTGGGTCGGTCAGACAAGGACACAGACTTCAGAAAGGCAAGCTTCGATAAGCTATGCCAGATAGTTGGCAACACCTTATGGGACAACTTATTTATCGGATGGAACACTGACAAAAAGTGGGACTGTTTTAGGAATACATTACATAATGCTATTATCAAGTGTATACCATTGGGTAACAAAAATAAAAGATCAATAACTAAGCCGGCATGGCTAACTAAAACAGTAAAACAACACATCTTCTCAGCTAGAACGGTTAGGGTCTAGAACTCACTGCCGCAAGCAGTGATTTCAGCTGGGAGTATGGAATCATTCAAAAAACGTTTGGATGATTTCCTCAGGGACCGTAACATACAGGGGTACAGCTACAGTTAAGAACAATATCACACATGGACTAATACACAT